TTCAGCAAACAGCCACTTGGCAACTGGTGCAGACTAAACCTTTTTTCTTTATGTTCCTGCATCGATGGTGATGACGTGATGACGTCAGTCCTTTCTCTCATTGTGTCCTAAGAATCCACCCTGTACTGCGCGCTCCCAGTCATGGACTACATCCCGGCGTTATGACGCTGCCGACGCCCCCATGCACAGACAGCTCGATATGTAATAATTGCACTCCCCATTGAGCAGTGAGGTACTGAAATGCATGATGGGACATGTAGTCCAGATCACTATGGACAGAAGCGTGCTCCCCTGTTGGAAGTTCTTCTAAGTAGCAAGAAGGAGAGACAAAGAAGCGGCTGTAAAGAGGTAATTATCCCTGCATTTATACAATTACAGGAGAAGAATGTTTAATGGATTGGGGCTACATTTGTGACCAGCAACTAGATGTGAAAAATAGCGAGCCCTTAGTACAATTTTGTCAACTTCAGCCATTTTTTTTTTAGTTGTGATTTATTTAGTTGTGATTTAAATGGGAAAACAATAAATCCTCTTTCAGGTTTACTACTGTGGTTATATTCATTGGGGAGATTTTTGCTTATTCCCTGTCCTGCTGACCAGTGTCGCAGAGGCATGCATGAGGGGAAATCTCCCAGAGACACAGACAACAAAAACCTAATATGCCAACACTTTCCCACTCATTAAAAGAGAATTATAGGGAGAGTGAAATGCACTTGTCCCTATAGCTACAGCCGACATGTAACACTGCAGCTATCACACGCCGGCTCTATACATCGAGAACTGAGCGATCACAAAGCGCTGATTGCTCAGTTCATGATTTTCTCCCTGCACTGTTAGTCACCGCTTCCCGCAGGGATTCCTCCCTCCCCTCTCTGTTCCTCCAGCGCTGACTGGAGGAACGGACGGGGTGTGGGCGGGCACAGCTCTGGCTCTAGAGAGGCAGAGCCAGCTTTAAATAAGGTAGCAGGATGGATCCCGCCAATATTGCCGCATTGCTCTGCACTGTCAGCATATAGCAGGTAATATCCCACTATATGCTAAGTTTTGGGTCACAGGGGGACATTAGTAAATGTCCTCCTGTGACTAAGAAAAGAACTAACATCAAAAAAGGTTTAGCCATATTTCTCTTTAAAAAAATACAAATGTCTTCATCGGTATTGTAAGGTTCTTAATAGCAGTACTACCCTTTCAGCATCGGTGGCTTCTTTGAAAATATTTTTCCTATTGTATTTATACTTATATACTTGCATACATACCTGACAAATATCCAGGAGCAAAACAACCTGACCTTTAATACACCCAAATCGTGTGGCTTAAGCACCACTTTTCGGTTAAATGCAGAATCTTCAACCACTAGCCAGCAGAATTGTAACGTATATGATTTATAAAACTGGAGCAAAAATGTCACTATTGCACACAACAGCTAAAAATATTTCATTATTTAAGTGAGACCTGGTCGACTAGTTGAGATAGGCAACATTTAGGTTTTTCTCCAGCTTCCAGGAATCAGTCCCTGTGTTGAAGATAACATTTGCACAAAATAATGGTAACAATTTATCCAATCATAGTTGTGGTGTCTTGCATCTGTACTGTGCATGTTTTTAAAACCTCACATATCTATGAGTGTGCAGATCCTGGTTTGAACATCTAGTATATCGGAAAAAGATTGTATTCACTGCTTGCTTTTTTTTATATATTAAAATGTTCCTTTTACACAATTGTGTAAATATCCTAACCCTTGCAGTCATGCGTCCTTTGCTTCTCAGGTGTATGTCAAAGAGTCCGGCAGCCTTGCCGTCATAACCCTGTGTGAAGTGTGAATCATCCGGCTGGCGCCAGGGAGAATTGTGCCACTATCATTGTTCAATAAATCTCCAGGGTCATCACTGTTACGCGGAAGACAACCAGGCTGTATCCAGAATGAAAAAACACGAGACAGAGGAGGCGAACAAGACTAGGCCTGGGATGCATGGTAATAACAATAAATTCACAGGTAATTAGGAAACAGACTGGATGAAAGTGCCATTATTTTTCTCATACTCGTAATGTATGCAGACAGGGCTTCGCTATTACTCTAGGCATCGCATAAACATTAAAGTGAACCTTTTACCCATTTTAGCCTTTTTAAAGGTCCTATTTAACAGCAAACTAGACAGGATTCTTATGTTACCATTATCTGGCTCCTCCGTGTGTCTTACCTGACTCTGGGATTAAAGTGTATTTCCACTTTTTATATCTGTCACATGTTCCTATTCACAAAGTAATATTTAAAACAACATTCTATCTACCTAGCCCC